ACTTGCGAAAATTCGATAATGTATCACTGTATTAATGTTAGTTAGATTTGAATAGTCTCAAACTAGTTGTTAAATATCAGTTCATCTTATCTTGTGTATTGTAAAAAAAATGGTAGATGAAAGCTCGTTTATAAGTGTTTTTTAAATAATTGAAAGTGTTTTTAGTGAAAATGTTTTTTTAAATCCATTTTTAGTAAAAGCACAAATGATTTTGGTTTCAGGTGTTTTTTTGGAACTTAAAAACATTTTTTATAAAAACGCTTTCAATCGTTTTAAATGTATTTCCAAACAAACCCTTAGTTATATTCGGCCCTTACTTATCAAGTTCAACCAATGCCGGTGCGAGAAAGATATACATTTATTATAAGTTTAATACTAAGTTGTGGTTCAATGTGACTTGTTATTGAAATGATTGACAGCTCATCGTAAAGGTATTTTTGTGACGATCAACAGGTATTTCTTCTTTTTAGTTTAATTTTAACTCTCGAAGGGTATACATGTTAATAGTTACTCTAGCCTCATTCAGTATGTCTTTAGTTAATTAAAGATGATCTCATATTCAACTCACGTGGATGCAAAATAATACCCATTTATAATCAATTCATTATGAAAATCTGATTTATCGTGGTCAGTTACAAGAAGTATCTTTACAAGTGAAAATGAAATTGTGGAGGCGATGCGTTTGGGCAAAAGAGCGTGGGAAGTGGGAAGAATCCATATAAAAGGGGATAAGGATTCTCTCCTCTCTCACTTTCGATGTATTTCTATTGTGTGATCACGATTAAGCTACGTCAATATTATATATTGTTTTTTTTATAGAAATAATAAGATAAAAATGAATAATAATATAAAATATTGACGTGATTTAATCGTAACCACACAAACAAGAGAATATGATAAGACACTGAAAGTGAGAGAGCATACTATCCTTGTCTTATAAAAGGGGCGAAGGCGGAAGCATCGAATCCACCACCAAAACTGGAAAGCCGGCAGCGCAAGCAAAGCAAAGAGACATGTGCGTATTGGACACGCAAGACGCGTGGGTGGCGATTAAAAGAATCGGGTGGGCTGGCTCGGCCTCGTTGTCCATTATCATTATCATTGAATGTGTTATTAGGCCATGTGGGCCCCACTACTACTACACTTTGTACACCCATTTATGTTTCCACATGTCCACTGTTGACAATATTCCAAACTCAACATCATTTTAATGTTGAAAAATGTTTCAAATTCAAATCACAATTGCCGCTTAGTACTACGGTTTAGTGATATTCTTCTTTATTATAAGTGAGATAACTTAGGTTCGATTCTCACATTGTGAAGCTTAGCTTAAACCATATTCATTTTAGTGTAGATAATTTCGTTTGTTCTAAACAACAACAACAACAAAATATTCAAATCACAATTGCTCATTGATAACAAATGCATTTAGATATGAAGAAAGTTGACCAGTTGGCAAAATGTAGAGCAGTTCAACTCCTTCTAAGACAAACAAGCTTCGACAAACTTTTGATGCGGAATACTTCTTTATAACCTCACATTTCCTTACGTGTGGTGAATTTTTAGACCTACAGTACAAATATAAATTGGATGCAGAACACATGTGCCCAGTAAACTTTAGGCATGGGGTAACTTGGCTCTGATGTCATGAAGAAAATTAAAATTCAACTATACTGATTAGCAATATAGGAAGTATTGAAACTCCTTAATATTTGTTAAACTTTCGATATGAAATATTTCGATACGTCCTAGCAAGTTAAAACTTACAACTCAAGTAAACATGAGTTTAAATTCACTTCCCTCAACTCTTGGTACAAAAGATGTAACTAAGTAAACTAGGTTTTGTATGGTTTGTCGAATTATTTTGGGATCACCATGCTTGTCAGCATTACTTTGCTATCACGCAATTGGATCACCATGCTTGTTCTTACCGGCAGGGAATCGAGGTGGTAAAATGGGTTGGGTTGTTGGACTAAAAGGCTGGGCTAAACTGGTTTTAGAAGACAAAAACGTTGGGCCAGACCATAGCCCGTTCAATCGACTACGAAGGCCCATTTCTCATCGGTGTGCTTTTTTGTTGACCTTTTTATACAAGGCCGAACCCTTCGTCCAAAAGGGCAAGATAGGCGTGAAATTTTATCTTAAACTGTTTCGATACAGTTAGAATGGCTTCTTGGTGGAGGAGAAGATTAAATGCTTGTTTGGGAGTGTTTTTTATATGACTGAAAATACTTTTAGGAAAAAAAATGGTTTTGGGTTATAAAGTACTTAAAGTGTTTTTCATGATTTACATGTATTTTTACTAAAGATTGATTTCAAAAATATTTTCACCGAAAACATTTTCAGTTATTTTAAAAGTACTTCCAAACGAGCTCTAAACTTTTAAGTCGACACTTTCAGACTTTCTCATGTTGATAGGCAGGAGTCCAATGAGTTGCGCATGAATTGGCACATTGTTATTTGAAACAGAGTGTTCAAACTTTGATGGAAGAGGAGTTCAGTTATTTCAAAAGTATTTCCAAACAAACTCTAAAATTTTAAGTCGACACTTTCGTCTTTCTCATGTCGATGCCCGTGCGTCCAATGAGTTGTGCATGAACTAGCACAAATTTCGTTATTCAAAACAGATTGTTCAAACTTGGATAGAGGAGGAGCAAAGTTCTTTTCTCTAAGATACGATCGATGTAAGATATTTCAACATTTGATTGAAATGACAACCGTTCATGTACGATTCATATGAATCCGCATAAAATCACTAAAATTGAATAGAGTTGGATGCTAAAGAAGAAATATTTTCATGAAACGGGTCCATCGCACATGACGTCTTAGATTAATAATATAAAGCTATATGTGAATTCATAATTTGAGAACACATACTGATGACACCATCTGTCACCATTGAATGAGACAGTCGTCGGTTGGTTTGGTTTCGTGACCTATAAAACATGGTTACTTCATTTGTCCTATTCTTCCCCTTTATTTTTATCAAATATTATCTCCCAAATGGTTGGTGATCAGTAAAATACCGATTCATACATGTTGCAATTTAAACCTCAGTTCAAAGAAAATAGGCAATTGTGGTTCGTCGGTGTATTTTATATATTATACAAGTTTTGTCCAATATATCTATTATATATATATACACACTAGTCTTTTGCCACAACGCGCGTGTGTCAATTGGCCTTTTTATATTTTTTAATTTAAATAACTAAGTTATATTTTTATTCAAAAAAAGGAAATTAAGCAAAGACATGAAACCACCCACTACTAACGTGGGAGTTTTTTTTTTCTCTATAATTTTAAAGTTTAAAATTAATTTATAATTAAAATGTGGTGAATTATTTAACTTCTTTGGTTCAATTGTTATTTTTGGAATTCTTAAAGGGCAATTTATGGTATTTTGAATGTTTCATCATTTTAGGGTGCTCACTTTATATATATAGATATATATATATATATATATATATTCTTATCTATCTATTCTATTCTATTCGAATAAGACCCTGTCAACTTTTTTCTCTATTTTTTTCAACTTTACCCTCATTTTTTAATACACAATAACAATATTGACATAAGGAGGGAAAAATAGTAATTTTGTATCTTTTGAGAAAATAACAATCATATCCACATTTTTCCTATTTCACCCTCACTTTTGATATACAATATTTACATAAAGAGGGTAAAATGGTAATTATGTAATATTAAGAAAAATATGCCCTTATTAAGAGATCCTATCATCATTGTCTCATACTTTTTTAAAAAATTTAAAAAACTAATCACACTCCTTAATCAAAAACAAAAAAGAAAATGAAATTGTTCACACACAAAGTGTGTGCTCATCTTCTAGTATCTCTATTAATTAATGAAACCCTCTTTGTCAATCAAAAGATGGTGAAAAGACTACTTAGTCTTCTATTACATAAAAAAAATGATGGACAATAATGTAACTTCACATTCCAAATTTTACTGTTTTGTATTGAAACCTTACCTGCAGGTGATTTTAAAATACTTCCAATATTTAAAAAAAAAAAACCAAAAACAAAAACCTCCCACTCCCCCCACGTTCTCTCTCTCCCCCTATCTCCTTCTCATTTTCTAAAAAAATGAGTTCATACACACAAAGTGTGTAAGCAAATGCTAGTATTCTATTAAGAGAAGAGGGCTTGTCAACTTTTTGCCCCCTTTTCTTCCAATTTTGCCCTCACTTTTGAATACACAATGTTGACATGAGAAGGGCAAAATAGTAATTTTGTATGTTTTGATTTTTTTCCTCTTTTTTCCTATTTTGTCCTCACTTTTTATACACAATATTTACATAAGGAGGGCAAAATAGTAATTTTGTATCGAAATATTTACATAAGATAAAAAATATGCACTTACTAAGAGAAATTGTCCCACCATCATTTTTTCATACACGTAAGTGAAAATCATGATGTTTTTTGGATAGTTTGAATGAACTGAAGCGGTTGCGCATGAGGAGAACGTGAGAGGAGCTAGGCAGTTGTAGAGGCTTTAATTTTGTACATTTTGACAAAATGACAATCATAGCCCTATTTTTCCTATTTTACCCTCATTTTTTTAGAAAATGACAATCATATACCTATTTTTCCTATGACAAAATAGTAATTATGCAATATTAAGAAAAAATATACTTATTAAGAGAAATTGTTCACACACACAAAGTGTGTGCTCTATGTTAGTATGCTTATAAAGCAATGTTGTAAAAGACTCCCATAGCGCTGTTTAGGTCTACATAAGTGCTAGATGGTTGGCTAAGCCATAATTAATTTCTAGGGACTTAAAAAATAAGAAAGAGCATTTAGACATGCTTAGCCGTATGTCTAGACACCCGTTTAAGTCGCGACTCTCACTTAAAAAAATAAATTACTTCCGTTTTTGCATTTTATTTTTTCAATAAATTGTAACAAACTTTTTGGATGCACGTTCATTATATTATTGTTCTCCATAGTTAAAATATGTTATAGTATTTTAGATTTATATATTATTATATTTTGCAATTTATGTATCGTTAATACAATTATATATTTGTTTTAAGTATAAATAGACATTTATTATGTGTTATAAATAAATTTAATTACAATAAAAAGATCACCCAAGCCTCCGTGACACACCCCGACCCGGAAAGTTCCATTGGACTCCGAATCGAGTTATGTTGGCCGACACCTGAAGGGTGACAAAGTCATAAAGTGTAGTGTAGTGAAAAAAGAATGTGAATAAATTTAAACTTAAAAGTGCCTAAACAAAGGAGTGCGCGGATGAGCGGGATTGAACCCTTTTCACACGTGATGTTAGAGCATATGACAGTATAATGAATAGGATGAGGGTTATACCACTGAAGGTAACCATCTCCTGAGATTTGCCAGAATCCTTGTAAATACGTAAGCACAACTACTAAACCTGGAAGGGAGAAAAACAAAGTTGAGTGGGTCAGCAAAACAACGTTTTGTAAAAACCTCATTTTCGAATATACTAACCCCTTACCGTAAAACAAGTTTAGTTTCCTTAAAACATACCACGTAAATATGTAAAAAATAATACAATAACATTATAACCAGAAATATGCCAAGTCATGATATATAAATGCCACAGTAATAAAATCATGTGATAATCAGGTATAGCCAAGTGCTCATCCATCTAAGCTGACACATAAATTCGAACAGATAATTTCTGACACGAACAGTACTGGGTGTAATCAATACGCTCTAGTATTACGATCACATGAAGACTAGTGCAGAAGCACGTCACATACAAGTCGAATTGCCTAATGCAATCTGCCCGACAGGACTGGCACCTAACTTGGATCTAAGGCGAGCGAATGATGCGATGTGAACATACACGTGAAGGACTGACTCTGGACTTGGGGCGAGTACTAACACCGGTGCAGCAAGATGAGCATGTACAGATATGTATGAATGTCATGACAGTAATATCCCAACCATATAGCAGCATTTATCACATTCAATATCACAATAACGAATACTTGGCAATAAGCGTAAAAGTGAAGTAACTACGCATTTAGGGAAACTATCAATATGTATAGGTATAAAATAAACTGCCTACTCACAGATACGTAGTTGAAACGAAGCCTTCGAGCCTTGCTTGACCTCGTACGTCCTCGGGATACATTTTCCCTAAATGTGAAATTACTAATTTAATTAGTTTATTAACACTAGGGCTGGGCACGGGCCGGGCCGGGTAGAGGGCTTTTGAATTTTGGAACCGGACATAACCCGGTTTGAAACGGACCGATTCGAAGCGGGTCTACGGTTCCTATTACATTTTTTTTTTCGTCAAACACAGAAGGAACGACGTCGTTCAAGTCGTCATCCTCAGTTGTCAAGCAACTGTTTCCCTGTTTCCTCCACCACAACCCAGATGCTCAAATCAGATGGTGCCGGAAAACCCAGATGCATCAATGGCTAGATGGTGCCAGAAAACCCAGATACAGCTCGGAGTCAGACCGTTCAAGTCGTCTTCCTTAGTTGTCATCATCATCGATCTAAAACCATAAAACCCACCCAGCCAACACAAAATCAGAACCATAAATAAAATAATAATAAATAATAATGAATAAATAAAACCCACAAATGACGTGTCAGGGAGAGAGGAGAAAACAAGTTAGGGAGAGAAGAGAAGACGAATCAGGGAAAGGGAAAGTGTCCTGCTTCATAAAAAAACTCAAGATTCCTCATCTTTTTTGGGTTTTCGAGAACTTTGGATTAAAACTCAGGTTTTTGAAACACTCAAGTTTGATATTTTTCTGGTGAGGAGGTGAGGAAGAAGTGAGAGTGAGTGAGAGAGAGAGAGAGAGAGAGAGAGAGTTGTGATGGAGATTAGAGAGTAGTGATGGAGTTGGTGAGAAGTGATGTACACGGGGCCTTAAAAAATAAAATTAAAAAACAAAACAAAACGAAATGAGGAAAGAAAGCAATGTAGTACAAATGTACTACCACTCGGGTAAACAAATGCAGTACCACTAAAACACAGCAGATATTTTTGTGATAATTGGGAGAAACGGGTCCAGCGGGGCCCCGTTTTCTCAGGCTTTTGCACCCGCCCCGCCCCGATAATTTTGTGAACCCACCCCGGCCCGCCCTGTTTTGTCTTTACAAATTTCAAACCCGCCCCGAACCGTATGGAACCGGCTCACCCTGCGGGCCTAGGGCCCGTTTGCCCACCCCTAATTAACACATATACAAAAACTTAAATAAAACCTCCGTAGATTGCTCAAACATAAGATTTGAATATACGAAAATGATCTACTCAACATCATGGACCCACACACGTCGACCACACGCCGACCGGAGGCAGGACGCGCCGCCATAAGTGGCTGCACGCGTTGATGACACGTAGGAGACCACACGCGCCTGCAAGTACATACGTACTAGCCTTCCTTGCGAGTTCCTAAAATTTTTGCAGGTTTTGGACCAACTTCCCAAGCTCTTAACGAGCTCGATTCTCAACCAAAAACAATTATACAAAGGCCAAATTAAAGCTAGAAATGAGATGAATCGATCTATATTCATAGAAAGTTCAAATGTGGTTCGTGTCGTCCAAGAATTTGGCCTGAAAGTGACCAAATGGCCACGGTCAAACTTTTCCAGAATTTTGGGAATTTCTTCCCAACTTTTAGGGTTGTTTTCTAACTCGATAGTTAACCAAACTCAGTGATTCAAAAGCCATTTTGAAGTTAGAAATATAGAGAATAAGTTTATACTTATTAGGAGTCCAGTCGTGGTCAAGGTTGACTGGAAAAATGAGCTGAAAGTGACCAAATGGTCACGGTTCCTTTGCTAGAAAACTGAGCAGTCTCCCCCCTCGAGCTTTATGTGCTAAGACGTTCGTTCAAAACATGTACACGAGATCAGAATCAACTCATAGGAATGAAATGAAAGTTCTTAGGATTTCCCAAGGCTTACCTAAGCCGTGATGAAAATCGTTGAACCAAAACTCACCGAGTCGGACCTTTCGACTTGGACGTCCAAAACGCGGTCAACATGTGATCAAATGGTATGGTTGAGTTCGTGGAGTCAAGATGAACACAATGGTGTAGTTTGCTTGTCACGTTTGTGTGTTTTGGTGTGGATTTGAGAAGGTTGCAAAGAAGAAGAGAGCTCGGTGAGGGAGAGAGAGAAGAGAGAGAGAGTGATGTGAGGGTTGCTTTCTGATTGGTTAGGAGAGAGAAAGAGATGTGATTGATTGGGTGAAAGAAAATGGGAAGGAAATTGATTGGTGGTGAGTAAAGGGGAAGGCACGGGTTACATTAAAAGAAAAGAAGAGATATGGTTAAGTTTTTAGATTTTCTATAGTACAAAGAATGAAACATACTTGTAACAGTGTTTCTACACTGGTAGAAATTCTCGTACACTCGTAACAACGTGGACAAATTTAAATGCAATAGCGAGAAATAAAATAAAAGCGATATAAGTACGTCCACGTCACTTGCCAATAAGGGCATAATAGTCATTCCACATAGTCGGAAAGAAGTTACATAAATAATATAGGGACGGGTTGTCACATTCCAGCTAAATGACTAGGCGCTAGGCTGCCACCTTACTAGTGCGTAGCGCTTTTTAAAATTTTGTTAGAAAGTGCCTTATTTATTTGGTAAGTGTTAGCTTCGATTTACTGTGCTTTTTAAAAAACTGCTTATATTTTGTTGTGAGAACAAACAAGTGTAAAATAAAATTGATGAGTGTTTGGTAAACACTTTTTAAAAGTGATTTAAAAAAAAATGTTTGAGTGTTAGTTAAACTTTTATATAAAAATATATTGAATAACTAAAAATGGTATTGGATTTAATGTGAATAATTGCCAAGTAGAATAATGGAGGAGCAAAGATTGTAGTTTTGTAAAATACGCCGGGTATACTTGCATTTGAAATTTTCATTAAATGAACACTGGTCACTATGCTTTGATAAAAAATAAAAAAAAAACACTTTTTGCTTCTGTTTTTCCATTGTCATAATCATAAACAACAGTTTTTTAATTTTTTTTTTGTTTTACGGTCCAAATTTTTTAATAACCTTTTTTTAAAAACACTAGAACTTCAAACTAGCCCTAAAAATCGCTATGTTATGAGATAAAGTTTAGCAAGTGTTATAGAACATGTAAAAAAAAAAATTATATTTTGAAAATGAAGAGGTTCAATTTTGAGAAAATAAACAGGTTCAATTTTGAAAATGAAACATTCAAAGCCTATCCGGCCATTGCCACCCTATCATTCACACGCTTTCACACCGGAAGCAGCTTTACAAATTGTATTAAGATCATGCTCCATACAAAATCCATAGATTAATACTCAATCATGAACTTCCGCATGGAATCATTCAATCACTTGATTATTCACTATTATTTAATCCCCAGTGGGATACCGCGAGTCATACAATCCATTTTTGACCTGGACAGCTGCAATCCTTCGACAACAGTTTTCATATCATCTTTCTGGGATTTGGATCCTCTCCTGAGCAGGAGATTAGGATCTTCGGGATCAAACAACATAAACCGTTGGATTTTGATCTAACGGCTACAAATAGAGGTCCTTCTAAAAATTATAATAATTATGCCGTTGCATTAAAATCCAACGACCCATGTTGTTTGATCCCGAGGATCCTGATCTCCTGCTCAGGAGAGGATCCAAATCCATCTTTCTGCTCGCATGAAATATGTAATTACAATAAACAATTTTCACATTCAAAATTTCATGGAGCAAACATTTTTATGGGATTTTAGTTAGAATCGTTTCATTTTGATATTTAAAATTTAAAATTGATATTATTATTTTTTATTTAACAGAGATTTTTTACGGAAAGACAAAATAATTGACAGTTGATAAACTCAAAGACCAATTTTATAGATTTTAAACCTTAGAGATTAAGAGCTCGTTTGAATGTGCTTTTAAAATGACTGAAAACACTTTCGGTGAAAATGTTTTTGGAACCAATCTTTAGTAAAAATGCAAGTAAATTCTTGAAAAGCACTTAAAGTGTTTTCTGGAAGAAGCACATAACTAGTGCTTCTTGTAGAAAGCACTTTAAGTGCTTTTGGAACAAAAAAATATTTTCTCTAAAAGTGTTTTCAGTCATTTTAAAAACACATCTAAACGAACCCTAAAGTGAAAAGTTATGTCAATTTTATTATTTGACGACGAAAAATAAAGATGAGTCTAAAGAGTTAAAAGTTATGATAAACCAGAGATTTTTCAATGTGATTAAACACGGAATGGTACACCACGTATCACTATATAAATAGTAGGATATGTGTGTTAAAACATTAATAACTAAAATAAAAATTAAACTTTCTACTACTTATATAATAACACGTGATGTATCATTCGTATTCCGTTACAATAAAAAAATAACAAACAATGTGTTGAAGGCAAAGAATTGGTAGGCGAAGACACGTATGGATGACACTGTCGGCCAAACGAAGCAGTTCAGTTTTAGGCCAGCAGATAAACGTTGACTAAAGCGGCCACGCTTCCCTGACTTTCTCTCTCTAAAACCTCCATTCTTTCTCTCTCATCATCTTCCTCTTCACATTCAACAACCTTCATCTCCCGAACCAATCATTCGATTCTTACAATGGCGGGGGAGCCACCGTCATCGGGGGCCCAAATGAAAGTGAACTCACGGCGGCACTACAACGTGGTCCACCCAGCAGACATCGAGACGCCGCCGCTTGCCTCCCCAGCTCCGGCCGCGTCTCCGCCCGTGTACAGAGAGGTCAAGCATTTTAAGAAATGGGTTGTCTGGCTGATTCCTGTATTTGTTGCTGCCAACGTTGTTATGTTCATCATCACCATGTATGTCAACAACTGTCCCAAGAACTCCATCTCTTGCATTGCCACGTTCTTGGGGAGGTTCTCCTTCCAGCCTTTTAAGGAGAACCCACTTCTTGGACCGTCGTCATCGACGTGAGTTCTTAATTTCTGTTGTTAAATTTGAATAATTGTATTAGTTTGTCGCTTCGATTTTGCTTTTTAAGTTTTCATATTGGGAAGTATTATTGACACTCTCATTCTACACTCCTCACAAGTGTATTTTTCTTTCCAAATATAGAAAGTTTGGAGGGTAGAATGAGATTTTTGGAGTGTCAATAACAGTTCCCTTCATATTTTGTATAAACATGTTTATTCAAGTTTAGAACCTTATGTGGAATCATGGTGTTTGGAGCTTTGGAATTAGATTTCCAATTGGTGTTGTCTCACCTTTTAATCTCATTTGTGGCTGACCCTTTTTTAGCTGTTTATGTTATGAAAATTGTTGACTGAATTTTTTGACAAACAATAGGATAATAACACTAAATTCATCTAAACTACGGGAGAGGGATTCGAAGTTGCATAGGGTGGAGCACTGCTCTAGCCAACTTGACCAAACCCATGTTTGCGAAAATTGTTGATTTGATACATTTTGTTTGTTCTCGTTCCAATTTGCGTTTTAAGCAGACTGCTGGTTTTTATTGTTTCCGTTGTTCTGTTTCTGTAAAAACATGTTTTACAAGTTTGGGGATTGATCTGAAATCATTTGGTGGGTGTTTGTATCAGAATTTTCGATCGGGGTGGACACTTTAGCTTCTTTTTTTTTTTTTTTTTGTTGCTGTAAAGGTTGTTAATTGAAAGATATTGTAAGTATGAACTGGTATTTTATTGGATTTTGGTTGGTTTAGGTTGCAAAAGATGGGGGCTTTGGATGTAAAGAAGGTGGTTGACAGACACCAGGGGTGGCTTCTAATCACTTGCAATTGGTTACATGCGGGCGTCTTCCATTTATTGGCTAATATGCTGAGCCTTTTAGTCATTGGATATCGGCTAGAGCAAGAGTTCGGCTTCGGTATGTATTCCAAATCAGTTTTGTTTATTTAATTTTGTGATTATAAG